AGACAGGGCCCCCGGGCCCCCCGGCGTGACCAGTGGTCCACTGCTGCTGCTGCTGCTGCTGCTGCTGCAGGGCCCCGGACTTTACTTGCAAGATTTGTTTCAAGCTGCAAGCCGAGCTGTCCATACACCCCAAGGTCTTCTTTTCTCTTCTTTCCCTTTTTCGCCAAATCCCTCATCACCGCAGACACATAAGAGGCCCCCAAAAACTCCCTGCTGCTGCTGCTGCTGCTGCTGCTGCTGCGGCTTCTTCTGCTTCGCTGCTGCACCCGCCACCGCCTCTCTCGACTCCGAGCCCTGCGGGGGCCCCCGGGGGCCCCCCTCTTCTGCATGCTGCTGCTGTTAAGACTTTTCATTTTTGTGAATTTTAATTCAGAGTTTTTGAGGGAAAAGTGGCAACTTGAGGTGTCTATACGCCCAAGGCTCGACGCCGATTTGCTGCTGCTGCTGCTGCTCTTCAGTTCCTCAAGACTGCAGCTCAAATCCTGCGACTCTTGATATATCCTTTGACCCAGCAGCAGCGGCAGCTGCTGCTGCTCCTCCTGCAGCGGCAGCAGCAGCTCCTGCAGCTGCTGCTCCTGCTGCAGCTGCTGCCGCTCCTCTTGCAGCGGCAGCAGCAGCTGCTGCAGCCGCTGCTCCTGCTGCAGCTGCTGCCGCTTCCCTTGCAGCGGTAGTAACTGCTGCAGCTGTTTTTCCTGCTGCATCTGCTGCCGCTTGTCGTGCAGCGGCAGCAGCAGCTGCTGCCGCTGCTGCTCCTGCTGCTGCTGCAGCTGCTGCCGCTCCTCTTCCAGCGGCAGCAGCATCTGCTGAAGCTGCTCCTCGTGCTGCCGCTGCTGCAGCTCCTCTTGCAGCGGCAAGAGCCACTGCTGCAGCTGTCGCTCCTGCTGCATCAGCTGCTGCTGATCTCTCTGCTGCTGCCGCTTGCTGCAGTTACTAAACTCTGCTTTTTCTCTTCTTCCTGGCGGCCTCCACCTGGAATATTTTTGCCTCATAAGAGACGCAAGAGGAATGCCTTTAGGCGCTGCTGGCGGTCTCTTGCTGCTGCTGCTGCACCTGCGGTTGCTGCTGCTGGTGTTGCTGCTGCTGCTGTGGTTGCTGCTCTTGTAGAATGAAGCCTTGCTGCTCTCGCCAGCCGACAGCAGCAGCTGTTCGGGCCTTTGGTCCACTGGTCCTCTTGCTGCTGTAGCAGTGGCAGCCGCTGCTGGAGTGCTTACATATCGCCACAGTTTGCTGCTGTTGCTGCTGCTGCTGCTGCTGCTCTCTTTCAGGTGTCTGTACACCCCAGCTGCAGCATCTGCTGCAGTTTCTGCTGCAGCCTCTGCTAGAGCTTTTGCCGCAGCTGCTGCTGCAACTTCTGTTGCAGCTTCTGCTGCAACTTCTGTTGCAGCTGCTGCTGCAGCTGCTGCTGCAGCTTCTGCCGCAGCTTCTGCCGCAGCTGCTGCTGCAGCTCCTGCTGCAGTTTCTGCTGCAGCTACTGCTGAATCTGCTGCAGCTTCTGCTGCAGAATCTGCTGCAGCTTCTGCCGAAGCGTCTGCTGCAGCTTCTGCTGAAGCTTCTGCTGCAGTTTGTGCTGATGCTTCTGCTGAAGCTTCTGCTGCAGCTTCTTCCGCAGCTTCTGCTGCAGCTTCTGCTGCAGCTTCTGCCGCGGTTTCTGCTGCAGTTTCTGCTGCAGTTTCTGCTGCAAATTCTGCTGCAGATTCTACTGCTGCTCCTGCTGCTGCTCCTGCTGCTGCTGCAGACGGAGGCAACTGGAAATCCTCGGAGTGGAGGCTGCAGCCTGTTATCAAAGGCAGCAGACAGCGCGCTGCTGCCTTGCTTGTATCTACCGTGGTGGCAGCAGCAGCAGCAGCAGCAGCAGC